AGTCACCACCGAATGTTCAGCACCAGTGTCGATCATGAACGCACTCCTTTTTCCCCCTATTGATACATCGACCATAGGCTCCGCTCAACCAAGGGGGATGGAGCCCGGTCGGTATCAATAGTCCTCCATAACCGTGTCAGCCAATCCCACAAAGTCCCTACCTTCTCTATCGCGGGACCTTTGCGCTGCTGGATAGTACCTATCTTCCCTTACACTTCCTCTGTTCCCATTACTCCCTCTATTACCATTACTCCCTCCGGGGCCTCCTCTACCTCTCGCTCTGCCTCTAAAGTTTCCATAACCTGCCCTGGGTAAGTCTCTCTCATACTGCTCTCTTTGCGGACACTCATTCCTCCAATGCCCTTCTTCCTTGCAGTACGCGCACTGATTCCTACTCAAAGGCTCCCTATTCCATCTACCATCGCCTCTATCTGAGCCCCGTCTATCTGCGCCTGCGATCGCTACCGCTAACATATCTGCCTTTCTACGCATCTTGCGCTCTTCCTCTTTCTTACTTTCTGTTTCCCTATTCATATATACTTTGTTCGCTACCTCCATTAGTTGGGTGATAGACTTACCTGCAAACCCTTCTAATTTCTGTAGCTTGCGCTTAATATCTCCGTAAGCTTGGCTGACAAAGGCGGAGTTTACCATTCGGGAATTATCAGCGTCTTCCGGATTAAAGGGGGTATACAAGCGGTATGCCTCCAGTAATCGGTCATAAAAGACACTGGGCGCTTCATCACTTTTCTGAATCACCTCAACTGTCTTCGACATGTTAATAACTTTCTTCCCTCCGGCTTTCATGCCAGCAATTATAGCGTCTCTATAGGCTTTAAGTTGAGCCATATCTGCGCCATTTACATTCCAGTCAGGATCGGTGTTAGGGTAATGTGTTGCGGCCCATGCTGCCGGATTGGCTTGATTTAAAGCACGGACTCTCTCCTCTAGCGCCTTAATGGCCGCTTGGTTAATCCTTGTCCTTTCCTCATTATTGAACAATGTCATTAATAACTGCTGGCAATCAGCCCATGTCGGGTTATGTGTCTGAACTATCGAGGTGAACAGATCGGTCATAGCTTGTGGTTTCTCAGTGTACGAGGAATTGTGGGTCTTCCAATTTAAGAGATCGGTAGTTGTGAACGGGACATATACGAAGACTGGGTCAGCATGTGCCATTTGACCTGCGGCATCGATATAGGCTGACCCAGGATTCAGACGAAGAGGCATCTGATAATGTTTTAATTGTTGGGTACCGGTCAGTTGTCGGTTAGTATGGGGCTACGTGGAGGGGCGTCAGTTAAAGGTTCCGGTCGAGAGGTAATAGGGCATGAGGATGTGGGAACTTGATTTTGGGAAAAGTTAGTGAATAGTATACTCCGAGCCGAGCTAGAAGAAGCTTGACCTGAAGTTTGAAGTGGCGCCAAATCAGGATATTCAGATCTAATGGGGGTTCGTCCTGGTTCCGGAAGGGGAGTTTTAATACGAGGGGGGGTGGATTCTGTACTGGAGGAGGAAGCGGAAGTGGATGGGGGCAATAGGGGAAGGGGTGCAGAGCTTCCTGCATTCGCGTCACTTCCTCTTAAAGGAAAGTAAGGGGGCCTAACACCAGTCCTAGTGGACAAACAAGTCCTGGCCACCATGAGGCGACATTGCTCCTCGTGGCATATCCGGATCCATTTTGGCGAGTCGTTTACGGCCTGCCTCCAACAATCAATGTATGGAAACTGTCCGTAAAGTTCAGGCCTACCTGACACAGCCACGTGTACACGCTGTACCAGGGTTGGATCCAAACTGCCGCGCGGCGGCCATGCCGCAACCAAAGTAGGCCACTCCCTAGTGCACAAAGTGACCAAACGAACAGGAGACATTTTAACCCCAAAATCACATATTTTGAATCCCTTTTTAAAATTCTTTACCATACAACCTAAGGGATCCGAAATCGTTGACTCTGACGCGCCCATACTTATCAATGGAACGTCGTTGACAACGAATACTATGCACGCGTTCTTATTCAACAGTCACACCCGTTTCCTCTGGCAACAACACCACGTGGTACAGTTACCGAGTGAAACGTACACAATAACACAATAATCACTCAGGGAATTCCCGTACACACACAGCTGTTACACCAGTCGCTAAATAATCAATATTATGCCCTTTGGCGAAACTATACAGTCACCCACGCTATAATTCTCTATATATGAATTACCCGTCTATAACACACCCCAGTAACATCGTCTTTTACTAGTATCGGTTACAGTACGGTTAGCATAGGTCAAAGCACAATTTAAGGTCACAATACAATTATTAGTGGTTACGGTGTTAAACATGCAATAGACGACAATGATTAGTACTTATATATAGTGTCAGTAAATATACAGGGTTATGGTACCGTGCACTATGATACAGCAACACACTATTAACACTCTCGCTAGACGGCTGAGCTCGCGCTATCTAACAAGATATACACTTTACTAACAATCTTTAACACATTTACAATCCCAACTAAACTATTGGCCAGTACCTTGAATGGACTACCTAAAACTATATACACCCGTTTTGGTTAGCCACACTGCCCAAGCACCACATATAGCGAACTAGAGGGCGAAATTTACAAAATTGCCCTTCTAGTCTATTTACTCTATCAAAAGTCTAGTGGGTTCCAAATTTACACGCCTTCCCACTTAGCCAAGATAGGTTGAGAGCTAGCGAACCGAATTTACACAGGCGCCGCTTAGTCTCCCGGTCCCTCCGACCTAGCGAACGTAATATACACCCTAGAACGCTAGTCTAGACAAGACACCGGTGTCCGGCTAGGGCTATTTACACAGGACCCCGCCTGACTAACCAGATCAAATGGTCTTACTAAAGAGCGTTCGATCGAGCGGTGCGCCTTCGCTCCTTCCCTCCGACAGAGGGGGCAGATTCCATACACAGATTTAAACCCCTTTTGGGCCTACCGCACAATCGGTATACCCCTAGTGGGTCTGCCGTCTAAAACAGCAGTTGTCTTACCTCCTCGTTCCTGAACCTGAGTTCACACTCATCGACGGGGACACCCCAGCACTTCTTACGTAGAGGCCGATGATCTCCTGGACAACAGACCAGTGGCGCCGAGACGAAGGGAGGTCCACGCAGAAGTTCAGGGGTGCAGCCGTAGAGAACGTGGGCAAAGATAGACCGTCTCACGCCTCTGCCTCTCAGCTACCGTTGAACGATGAGCTTCCCGGCCAATGCACCAAATGATACCGGAGAAACTGGCGGAAGCAAAGCACAGAGGGATGGACACAGGTTTCTTCAGGAAGGAAGAGATTCTTTATTGGATCACCGATCGGGACTCAGAGGGACTAATGTCACCAAAAATACAGCAAGTTCTGAGCCCTGAACAATAGTGCAGGCTTCCTATATAGGCACATAACTCCTCCCATATTAAGCTCCACCCGCACATTCTCTTGACCAATCATTACAAATAAGAATTAACTTCCTGCTTGACCGCATGGCTTGTCCAGCACAATGGAGGAGGGGAATACTACATCCTGTATTCTTGCACATGCTCCGTACACTACTGATCGTATCTTGCCTCGTGCAACCAACTGATCGATACGTCAGCATATGCACGTACACATGCCATGTGGTAATCTCGGCCTACTAAATTTATTTTTACCGAGATTCCACCACACTACAGCACTGAATGGCTATACATGCATTTGTCTTACCTTCAAATGAAGTAACTCTACCCAACAATTCGCATGCAGTTATACACTAAGGGGTGTGAGATGCCATTTCTCTCTCTCTCTCTCTCTCTCTCTCTCCACACTAATGAAAACACCTTGAAAATCTGCTATTGTGTAAACAGTAAATCAAAGGTCACAGAAATGAAGGTAACATCTAACAAAAAATGGTTTGTAAATTATTCATCTCTCATAGAAGGAAATGTTAAAGATAAACATTGCAATAGTAATGCTCAAGGAAAACAAAAAATAGAATGTACATCTTTTCCCTGCCAAGAATGCTTCTCATTGATCATGCTGGAAACAGTCACTCAGTATTGTCACTGAATCCCTATAATACAATCTACGAAATGGGCTGACATCCCACCAGCCAACAAGCCACCTTGACATCTGGATAATGGTTCTAAATTGAAATACCGAGATCTCTTGCAACGGTCAAACCTATCCAAACATCTAATGGATGAAGAGCGAAAGAAATCCTATTAACACAAGATTCATGATCCAACATGCTGAACTGGAGCCAGAATATGCCATCTCTCTTTGTTACCACAGCACCATTGTGGGAGAACTGCAAACTCCACATAGTAGAATATTTTCTTTAATTTTACTAAGGCATAATACGCAGTAAAAACAACGTTTAGGCCGCGTCCGAAATCTCTGCTTAAAGAAACACTCTGCGCACCATAACAACTTAATCTCAGGTTCTGAGCGCTGACTTACCTTAGGGGGTTAAACTGGTTTCGAGTTGTTTAAATCCAAAGTTGTCCAGACAGCACCAGAACATACTTTTCACATGCATTATTCTCAAGAAATTCTAAAACTGTTTGACTTTTTGTAATGGGAAGGAGCCATGGCACGCCTGGCACTATAGCCACTACAGTGAGCTGTACTGGTTATGATTTTTGGAGTGCTCCTTTAAAGGAACACTAAACTCTTACAGCACTTCAGAAGTTAACTAACATTCCAGCGTTATAAATAAATGTATATATTTATATTGCTGCAGTTTTTTTTTTTATTTATTTTTTTTAAAGAGAGCCGTTAAAGATAAGAGAAGGAAATCAAAGAAAAACCATAAAGCAGTACAAAACTCCCATATTGCTGCAAAGTGCAGTGCATAGCGGATGCTCTCAGCCAAAGAGCAAGCCCCTTAGTAGACCTGATCGCATCTCCTAAGCGGGATCTTTTTTCAGTTTTATTAACTGCAGAGAGAGGTGGCAGCGACTGAAGCCCAACAGAACCCAGGTAAAACAGTTTGATTACTTACAACAGGTGTTGCCAAAGCATTTCTAACACCATAACCACTACAGTGTACTGGTGTTTGAAGTATTCTTTTAAATTACATCAACTGTAGTAAAATTACCCACATCAGAAAGATATCAGTATATATAAATAATAATAATAATTAAAAAAATATATATATATATATAATCCAATAGAGAATAGGTGCACTCACAGGTCTTTATCTCAAGCTTTTTCCTTTATTTCAAATCACATCAATATTGTCCTGATCAACGTTTCGACCCACACCCACACAAGGGTCTTTTGAATTGGAAAAGAATAAGCGGATGGTGTGAACCCTAACCACCAAGAGCGGAGAGAACTAAAATGAACCCTTCCAGTGTCTGGAACCAAGGAAACACCACACACCACAACCAAAACGTTCATCAAATCGCATAGCCACTGGGGTCCTTTTCTCTGCCCCTCTTATATCCCTTATATGCTCTCTGATCCTCGATTTTAGGTGGGGGATGCTCTTACCTAAATATTGTACAGAGCTATAATAAATGCTTTCCTTAGAGCCCATTCAGAGTAGCTCTTTTCATAAATCTCTTTTGAAGTTCACAAAATTCCTCAACACATTTCTGGAAGCTTGTACAGTGACGCTTAAAGGGACTCTCCAGTGTCAGGAAAACATAAGTTTTTTTTCTGGCACTGCAGGACCCTACAGTGCCCCCTTCCCTCCCACTCCCCACCCCCCCATCCCATGTTGCTGAAAGGGTTAATACCCCTTCAGTGACTTACCTGAATCCAGCGCCGATATCCCTCGGCGCTGGGTCAAGCTGCACCCACACTTTTCCCACGTCAGCCAGCGGGGGAGACCTAATGCGCATGTGCGGCAATGGTCGCGCATGCATATTAGACCTCCCCATAAGAAAGCATTATTTAATGCTTTCCTGTGGGGATTCCGATGACGCTGGAGGTCCTCATGCATAGCGATAGGTTTCCAGCATCGTTTACAACACTTTTTGTTTTCTGAGAACATGGAAGTCCCTCTAGTGGCAGACAGCTGATAGACAGCCACTAGAGGAGGACTTAACCCTGTAAAATAATTATTGCAGTTTGCAAAAACTGCAATAATTACACTTGCAGTGTTAAGGGTGGTGGGAGTTTGTACCCAGACCACTTCTGCTCATTCGAGTGGGTGCCTGGAGTGTCCCTTTAATGCAGAGAGATTTTCCTGTTAGAATACCTCAAATGAAATACTTGGGATGACACGAAGAGGATGTAGTAATGTATTGCCTGCTCTTTCTTTCCTAAGATTGAACTTCACAATATTTCTATCAAATACAAATAAATTCCAATCCAAAATATTACTCAGACTACAAATTTCAAGTTAAAATCATGGTCATAAAGCAACTCAAAGCATTTATGTAGACAATCTTTACCTCCCCTGCAAACCAACTACTAAACATCAATACACTGTTGATAAAAAAAATAAAATAAAAATTATGAAAATCCAAATTTCATCTCCATACATGTGGGACTCCTACCACCAACCGATCTACAGGTTGGCAACGGATGTAGCTTATTTACCGCCATCAAAGTCACACATCTCCAGAGGTAGAACTTCAAACATGAAAAAAATATGTGTTAGTATGCAAGTTTGTAAAGCTTGATGTGCATGAGCAGCTGAATGTGGGCTGGATGTGGCCGGCTAACAAAGAAAACATTCCGTTATCAAATGCCTGCACCATGTGTTAGAGGAATTATAGGGCTACACAATTTGCTGGCGCTATATAAATAAAATAATAATATTAAATAAACGGCAAATTAGCATATGACCAGTAGAACCAGTTTTACGTGCATACAGTAGATAACAGACATAATTATGCCCGGCAATTTTAAAGTACGATTCACTAGGCCTGTGCAGCCTTTGCCCAGAAAGGGCTAAAACAATGTAAGTGAAATAAGACAGATCATCATCAAGGCAGTACCATAAAACCACATGTATAGGCCCAAATTTGGACCTGTCATAAATTTATCATGGCCACATGTATAGGTCCAAGTTTGGGCCTGACGTCATTATGACCAACATCATATTAAATTACAGTTGCAAGAAAAAGTATGTGAACCCTTTGGAATGATATGGATTTCTGCACAAATTGGTCATAAAATGTGATCTGATCATCATCTAAGTCACAACAATAGACAATCACAGTCTGCTTAAACTAATAACACACAAAGAATGAAATGTTGCCATGTTTTTATTGAACACACCATGTAAACATTCACAGTGCAGGTGGAAAAAGTATGTGAACCCCTAGACTAATGACATCTCCAAGAGCTAATTGGAGTGAGATGTCAGCCAACTGGAGTCCAATCAATGAGATGAGATTGGAGGTGTTGGTTACAGCTGCCCTGCCCTATAAAAAACACACACCAGTTCTGGGTTTGCTTTTCACAAGAAGCATTGCCTGATGTGAATGATGCCTCGCACAAAAGAGCTCTCAGAAGACCTACGATTAAGAATTGTTGACTTGCATAAAGCTGGAAAGGGTTATAAAAGTATCTCCAAAAGCCTTGCTGTTCATCAGTCCACGGTAAGACAAATTGTCTATAAATGGAGAAAGTTCTGCACTGCTGCTACTCTCCCTAGGAGTGGCCGTCCTGTAAAGATGACTGCAAGAGCACAGCGCAGACTGCTCAATGAGGTGAAGAAGAATCCTAGAGTGTCAGCTAAAGACTTACAAAAGTCACTGGCAAATGCTAACATCCCTGTTAGCGAATCTACAATACGTAAAACACTAAACAAGAATGGATTTAATGGGAGGATACCACAGAGGAAGCCACTGCTGTCCAAACAAAACATTGCTGCATGTTTACAGTTTGCACAAGAGCACCTGGATGTTCCACAGCAGTACTGGCAAAATAATCTGTGGACAGATGAAACCAAAGTTGAGTTGTTTGGAAGAAACACACAACACTATGTGTGGTGAAAAAAAAGGCACAGCACACCAACATCCAAACCTCATCCCAACTGAAGTATGGTGGTGGGGGCATCATGGTTTGGGGCTGCTTTGCTGCGTCAGGGCCTGGACGGATTGCTATCATCGAAGGAAACATAAATTCCCAAGTTTATCAAGACATTTTGCA